GACTCAGGTGAGGAAATAAATTTTTCAAATGCCAACATTCATGTTTATTCAAATAAAATGGGATGCAATGAAAACAAGGAGGCTTTTTTCACTTAGCACCTGATTAAATGTGAAGTTTACTGGGAGAGAAAAGTAGGGTTTAAGGAGAGGAAATTCATATATAGATGAATAGTTTTTTAATGAAGAGAATCTCTATTTGAACTATTGGATTTACTTGTGGGAAAATGCTTTGTTGTTTAGCCGTTTAGTCGTGTCCATCTCTTCGTGACCCCATGGACCAGAGCACGCCAGGCACTCCTGTCTTCCACTGCTTCCCGCAGTTTGGTCAGACTCATGTTTGTAGCTTCGAGAACACTGTCCAACCATCTCGTCCTCTGTCGTCCCCTTCTCCTTGTGCCCTCCATCTTTCCCAACATCAGGGTCTTTTCCAGGGAGTATTCTCTTCTCATGAGGTGGCCAAAGTATTGGAGCCTCAGCTTCACGATCTGTCCTTCCAGTGAGCACTCAGGGCTGATTTCTTTCAGAATGGATCGGATCAGTTTGATCTTCTTGCAGTCCATGAGACTCTCAAATGCTAGAATGTTAGTTTAAGAGATCCTACTTGTTGCCCAGTTGATGTTAATCACAATTTGCTTTGTATGTAATATTACATTGTATAGGATAGGGAAATTGCCTTTCTATATATTGTTTATTTGTAAGCCACCAAGGAGTAAGCAATGTCCTTTAAGAAATACTGTAAGGTTTAACACTAAATAAACATATGAGCCGCAATACGAAAAAGAGCAACATGCACAGAAGACATCTCACATTAAGGACCAATGGCTCTCAGAAGGTGTTGTCAGCCATTCTTTTATGTGAAGTCCCAGAAGGAGATCTCCAGTTTGTGGAATCTGATACAATGCTAATCTTGTTACAGCATTTATTGGGCTTAAAGTGAACATTATAATCTTCTGGAGTTTGCATGATGCTAGGCAGAGCTACAGCTGGTGCATAAACCTAAGATGGGCATAAGCAGACCCCAATCACAGAAGCCACTTGAGACCCTGGTGATGAGTTGAAATCTCAAAGTACTTCCAAAATACAAACGTATTCCTTCACAGTGAGTCCAATCCCTTCTGAGAGACAGAAACCACTCAACCAAAGAACTTTGGACGCATAAGGAATCAGCCACCATCCTGTCCAACACAACCTTCAGACAGCAGTGCAGCACCTTCACTTGATGCTATGTGGCTGCTTTTTATCCCATTGTATGTGCCACCTGTGCATATATGGACCATATGTTTTGCATTATTGGTCCTCCTATTGCTTATACATCCCCTGGTATAAGATTAAATCTCCAAAACATTTTTTAAAAAACTAAATTCTTCCAATGTTTTGGATAGGTGCCACCCCTTTCAGTATGTAATGACAACTGCCACCCTGGTTACGGGAAGAAGAAAAAGGAAACAAGTAAATTTTGTTGCTATGATTGTGATCCATGTCCCAGCGGGATGTACTCAAATGAAAAGGGTGAGAAATGTCATGTTAAGATAGAGCAAACTGCACAATTTATTTAGCAAATTCTGAGAGCCTTAAAATTTTGTTGTCATTAAAATTCTGCTGTGGGGAGGATTAAGTAATGGATTTCTACATTGTTATTTTTGTTGTTTACAATATAATAAATAATAATAATAATTTTATTATTTATACCCCACCCATCTGACTTGGTTTCCCTAGCCACTCCTGGAGGCTCCCTGCAGAGGACTAAAAGCAGAATAAAACTTCAAACATTAAAAACCTCCCTAAACAGGGCTGCCTTCAGATGTCTTCTAAAAGTCAGATAATTGCTTAATCTTTAAAACATCCTAAAGAAAATGGTTTTAGAAAAGAAAGTACTGCATTTTACATAGATTTCTAAAAAAAGAGGAGGAGGAACACTAAAACACAGAGATGTCCTCTGCGTAGAAATTCCATATTTGGGCTAGAGGTTTTAAAGCTACCCTGCTAAAGAAAATTAAACAAGGTGAACTCCTGACGACAAATTTTTTTAAGAATTTTCTTCGTAATTTCATTTTGTCTTTTCAGACATGGAAACTTGTATCAGTTGCCCAGCAAATAAGTATCCAAACAAAGACCAGGATAATTGCATTCCTAAAATACCAAACTTTCTGGGCTTTGATGAAACTTTGGCCATCATTTCAACTTTCTCGGCACTACTGTTGTCTCTGATCACAGCTCAAGTGCTGGGCATCTTCATTAAACACCGGGACACTGCCATCGTCAAAGCCAACAACAGAAGCCTCACTTACATTCTCCTTGTGTCCCTCCTCTTGTGTTTTCTCTGCTCCTTGATGTTCATTGGAACACCTAAGCAGGCAACCTGCCTTCTCCGACAAACAAGTTTTGGCATCGTCTTCTCTGTGGCCCTCTCCAGCATCTTGGCCAAAACCATATCGGTGGTTTTGGCATTCATGGCTACCAAGCCAGGATCCACAATCAGGAAGTGGGTAGGCAAAAAACTGGCTTATTCAATTGTCCTCTCTGGCTCCACTGTTCAAGTGGGGCTCTGTGGTCTTTGGTTGGCATCTTTTCCCCCTTTTCCAGATTTGGACATGCAATCAATGAGCGAAGAAATTATATTCTTATGTAATGAAGGGTCAGTCCTCATGTTTTACTGTGTTTTAAGCTACATGGGCTTCCTTGCCATTATCAGCTTCACTGTGGCTTTCCTAGCCAGGAAGTTACCTGACAGCTTCAATGAAGCCAAGTTCATCACCTTCAGCATGCTGGTCTTCTGCAGTGTTTGGATCTCCTTCATTCCAACTTACCTGAGCACCAGAGGAAAATACATGGTAGCTGTGGAGATCTTCTCCATCTTGGCTTCTAGTGCTGGATTACTGGCTTGCATCTTTTTCCCCAAATGCTACATTATTGTAGTGAGGCCTGACCTGAACACCAGAGAGCATTTAATACAAAGAAAGATATAAATAATATAAGAATTTGTGCTTCCATGATTGTTTTTACTTTTCAACTCTGAAACATAAAAAAAATGGAAAAATTGGTGCTGGAACTCACAATGAACATCTCACTCATTCTCTTAGAATGGCAATGGCACCCACCTGAGAGATGTCGAAAATGAGTTACGGTGAAATGAGTTCCGGCTGGAAAAAAGCCGATTAGGACTTTGTGACCAAATAAATCTATTTCAGCAAAAATGTGAATGAATGAGGACAATGTGACCAAATGAAACTATGTCATCTATTTTGTGCTTTGTTTCTCGGCTGCAAAAGTGTTGCATGTTATTTTAAGAGGCCATTCAGACCAAATGAGGCAAATGTTCACATCAGCTTCTGAGCTTCAACTGAAGACAATGAAATTCTGAAATAGAACGAGAAACGTTACTCTACAGCTATTCTGATTAGACAGCTAATATGAATGAAGAGTAGAGGATAACTATTAGTGCAATTTTATTTTTTTTGACTATGTGATATATTAATTAAGAAGCTAAATAAAAAAGCTATGTTATATTAGTGTGGCCTGAAATCAACTGATAGGGAGAAATATGTAAATGACAGGTGTGTTTGTAGTTTCATTTATGTTCTTGATATCAATCTGAGAACATGAGGTTTTACAAGTGTAAATTGGAATCCCCATGTGTGCCCACAACCTACCTAACCCCTAAAACATACTCCCTTGTGAGATCTTTTGCTGGAGTCAACTGGGCACAGCTCTGAGAATAGGCCCAAATTACCTTGTGCCCAAAAATGAGCTCTCACAAACTGGACTGTTCCCAACGGAGTTGGTTTATCTTTTAACAATAGATTGATTAGCATAGTGTAGAACAGTGACATCCAAAAGCTAGGTCACGATCTACTGGTAGATTGTGAGGTCCCTGTGGTAGATCATGGTAGATCACTGCCCCCTCTCAAAAGCTCAACAATAACTTTGAACTTTGATTTCCTAAAACAAAAGCTCCACAACTTTGAGTTCCTAAAACAGGCTGAACAACTTTGGTAGATCACTGCCAGTTTTTTAATAGTGGGAGTAGATCTCAGTATCTTGAAAGGTGGACAAGCCTGGCGTAGAACATATAGAACCATGGGTACTTTTAAAATAATATCCTCACACATTCAGACTCATAGTAATAACTTCCTACAATACACGGGGAAGATATATGGATACAGCATAACAGTGTGTTGTATGATTCCCAAGTAGGGCTGGCCCTCCCATGAGGCAAGGGGAGGTGACCACCTCTGGCAGCAAGATCTACAAGGGCAGCAGATCCCAATGTAGATCTTTATTCCCCACTTGTTCCTATTGTAGATATTTACTAACTCCTTCTTCCCTGGAGAGGATGGGGATGCCCTTTTGTGGCTTACATCAGGTGCCAAAAGATCTTGGGCCAGATCTGCTCCCAAGAAGATAGTAACAATCAAAACACTGACTAAAGCCACTGCTGCATGGCATAGGTCTATTTGATGGACCCAGGACCAGAAATTCTATGCCTGAAGCTATTATAGTTCTTAATGACATATCTGGGCTTCACACGGACAGGCAACTGAATCCCTACCAAGCCCCTAGGTACACTATCCAGTGTAGTACAAATGTTGCTCAGAGAGTAGCAGGAAGATGTGTGGAAGGTTGCTGGGCTTACGTTAAGAGTACCAGAAGAGGGTTTGTATAAGTGATATAATGAAGTGGGCTGCTGATGCATAGGTGGCACTAAGATGTGATTCTTTTGTACATGACAGATTGCAGTAAAGGAAGGTTTTCTTAAAGAGAGTTCTCCTGAATGGATTTCTTACCTTAAGGAAGTTTTGTACATCTTGTTTCCTGGCTAGTCAGCACACCCAACATGACCAGCTATTGTTCTACTTGTCCCACATTCAGCTATCTATATTTGACTGAGGAATACTCTCTCCAGAGATTCGGACAAAGTCAAGTTCTGAAATCTGCATTCAGTGATGTTTCCATTGCTAATTTATTTTATTATCACCATCACTGCAATTCAGCATTTTCAGTCATTTAATTATTATGGCCCTTGTCACACAGCAACTTCCTAGAGGGGATTGGAAAAGAAACAGGCAAAGGGGGTGATTACCCAGGGTACACTGCAGGTTAGGCCAACTTCTTATCCAGTTACAAACACAAAATGTAGGTCAAGCATGACCCCTCATAATAGAATAGGGGCTGTGTGAAGGAATGAAACTATGGATGCTATGCAATATCACATGACTCAAAGCCTGCATCTGCTGTTTTTAAAGTCATGATCTGTGAAAGGCTCCTAGGGCTGAAGGGTGGGGCAAGGCAGGTGGGAAAAACCATTGCCTGATAGCCAGCAGAAAGTCTCTCTCCCCTCACCCCTCGTTTCTCCTTTGTCTCCTGCACACCATGGGTATCCTCCTATGGGAAGCTGCAGAGGGAGGAGAAGGAAGGGAATATAGGAACATTAGAAGCTAGATTATACTGAACCAATCCATTACTGCATTTAGTTCCATATTGTCTACAATGATGGACAGCAGCTTTATAAGGTTTCAGACTGGTGTCTCTTCCAGCAATACCTGGAAATGCTAGGTATTGAATGTCAGACCCTCTGCACATGAACCATATGTGGTACCACTGTGTAATAGCTCTTTTTCTCTTCTCCACTCATGGAAGTTTGTCCCATTTATAAATGGATGCAATTGGATATCAGCCCTTTTTCATCAGTTTTGCTTTTCTGTTTTGGATTGTAGAGTCACTGCTTTTTCCTTGAAGTTCATTTTACCATATATAATTTTGGGTTCGTGAGGATTCACAGGGGGTCATGCGTTCAGTTAAAGAATGATGGGCCCAGGTGCATATTTTAGGAGGAGCTGTGAAATTGGCTCCTCACACTATGCTGCTAACCCTGCGCCAATTTGCAAGGCTGGCATCTGATCTGAATGATTTATCTGGCAAACTAGTTAAAACTTACCCTTCCTAATTGACAATTGCCTGAGGCAACAAATGTTTACTTGACAGATCTGCGAAGGATGATGCACCATGGAGTCCTTAAAAATGGCAAGAAGTGATTGTCTCCCCTGTAATTATTAAAATTACAATAATTAAGTCACCTTGCCAATGCTCCAGAAGGCAAAATGTCGGGTGGGGAAGAATCAGCAAGCAAGCCTGAAAGTTTTCATAGACAGTTAGAATAATGCAGAAGAGAGAAGCCAGGCTCTGTGATTGTATAGGCAATACTTCAAATCACTTCATCTTATTTACCATTCAAGGCTGGTCTTTGTGACAGGGTTTAATGATAAGATGCATGCATGTCCCTTTAATCACTGAACTGGCAGAGTCTGCTGCCTCCAAATCGATGCTGGTCAAATCAGGCTGCTGCTGATAATAATGATATTGTAGAGAGGCAAAGAAGAGTCCATGTGTAGAACCTTGCTGCTGCTGCTTCTCTTGCTCTTCCCCAACATGGTGTGCCAAGTGCATAGTGCTCATTTTACCACAGCCAACCCTGTACCTATTCCACATGAGTGGTATGAGCCAGGTGACCCTGTCATTGGTGGGATAGCATCTCATATCCGCTACGTCATCCCCAATGTTTTATTCAATAAACACCCCTCTGAAGCCTTGATTAACAACCCACTGTAAGTAAATAGTCCTTAATAGGATTTTATTAATTCTTTACATTTTTATATGTGACTGAAATATACTTTGTTTTGAATGAGTAGTTTTAGAATTGTATTACTAAACCGTATTAATTAATTAACTGCATTAATTTGAAAGATTTGATAGACTGTATGAGAAACATCTGCGCATACAAGCCACGTCTAAACTCTCACTTGGACATTAGGAATCCTTAAGATTTAGTGATCCAATTCTGCAAAGAGAAAATTGAGTAAGAGAAGGAGAAGGGGGGGTGGCAAGTTTACTGATGCAACCAAATTTTTCAGGGTGTTTAAAACAGAAATGGATTGTGAAGAGGTCCAAACGGATCTTTTGAAATGGGATATATGGGCAGTAAAATGAAAAATGCAATCCAATGTGTGAAGTGATGTACCTTTGGGCAAAAAAGCCTTAATTTCACTTACAAATCTATGGCATTTCAACTGCTGATGATTGACCACAAATGAGATACTGGGACAGTAATGAATAGCTCATTGAAAATGCTGACCTGGTGTATAGAAACTGTGGAAATGGCAAATTCCATGCTAGGAATCCTCACTAAAGCCTTAAGGAACTAAAAACAAAACTACACAAATCATAATGCTATTATACCAATTATGGAATATTGTGTACAGTTCTGCTCACCGTATCTAAAAGGATTTATTGTACATCTTGAAATGGTTCAGAAAAAGCAGGAAAAAAGTGATCAGATCAACTCGTCTATGAAAAAAGGTTACAACATTTGGGACTTTTTATTTCAGAGAAAGGTGAGCAAGGGCTGACATGATATAGGTGCACCAGATTATGTATGGTGTGGTGAAATTTTTTTCTCCTCTCTCATAATTCTTGAACATGGGAAAATCCCATGAAGCTAAATGTGGAAAAAATCAAGACAAGCAAAAGAACCTACTTATGCACACACTGAATAGTCAAACTGTGGAATTTGCTCCCCCAAGAGGTAATGGAGAATGCCCTGAATTTGCATAAGGACTGGCTGCTAAAATACAACAAAATGAACCTATAAATTTCACTAGGCAAAACTATTATTTCATGTCATGTATCATTATTAATTGATTGCTTTCCCCCTGTTAAGAAAGGTCTTTGCAACAAAACATAATGTTGGTCTTAGTTACTCAGTTATTCATAAACGAAGTGGGTTTATAAAAGAAGAATAAGAGAAAATTATGTGATTTCCAGTCTCCCATATAAACTTTGACTAGTGCACATGTGTTTACACGTGTTGGTGTTCAAATTATTTTCTACTTATTCTTGCTCAATTGCCATTTGTTCTTCTATTAACATTCATTCACGCACTCAGTGACTGATTTCCTTCCACATTTCTCTGATGAAAATAGGGACGTCCTATTCAATAAGAAGAAGAAGAATTTTACCATGTATTCCCCACTCAACTCATTGGGTTGCCACTCTGGGCGACTTCCAACATATAAAAAACATAATATTACATTAAACATTTATAAACTTCCCTAAACAGGGCTGACTTCCGATGACTTGGGGTCAGATAACTCCATATCCCGCCCCCCACAACATTTCTCCAAAGAAAGTAGGGACATCTGAAGGAAAACTGGGATCATAAACCAGAAAGGCTTCACTTAATCAGGGATGTCCCTGGAAAATAGGGACACTTGGAGAGTCTGGAGTTGCTGAAAGCTACATAGTAAAGTTGCCAGATGCACTTCTTGTGGGAATTAGACTCTAGTTCCCATTTCCAGAGCGTTCAGAAGTCAGCCCTGGGTCGTTTGATCCTTTAATTAATTCTCCTTTTTCTCCTATAAAAACTATGCAAAACTCTCTCTTTTAAAGTTTAAAGAGCCAATAACCTTTACTTAGTGTACCTGCAGTTGCAGATTAAATACAGTGCCATAACTGTCAAAACTGCCACAAACTGTATGACATCACAGAGTTCTACAGCTCTTGAAATTAACCCTTTACATATGCGTTTTGGATGCCAACATCCCACACGTCTGAATGGAAGGTGGAGCAGAGAGTGCACTAGATATCATTTGACTTGCTCTGCTGTGATATGAAACACTGTCTGACTCTGAGTGATATTGTCCCCAAAGTGCCACCCTAAATTGTTACAGCAGGCTGATGTCAGAGAAACGCTAACTTGGCCAGATGACAGATACCCATTCACTACGCATAAAAACTCAGCACAATAGTGGCTGTAAGAGTAAGCACTCTTTGCCTCTGCCATTGCCATGTGGTTGGCGTGCTAATGTTCCCTGACGTGTGTTTGATCTGTTTCATATGGACACTTACATCACCTGCGTTCTAGTCCTCGGCCCTCCTATTTCATTGCCCACATGTCATTTATCATGGCAGACTAGCACTAGGGAGATACAGTTTCAAATCTCCATTCTCTGGGTCATCTACAACCTAGGGGGGTTTTGTGAGGATTCATAGCAAGTGAAAGCCAGCCTGTGTTTTCTTCATGAAGTGAGGTAAGAATATTTATTAAAATAAAATGGCGGTGTCCAATGCTTATTGGAAAGAAGCAGAGGTAAGTTTAATGAAGAATGTATTCAAAGCATTTTGTAAACGTGGGATCAGAGCCTTTCACAACCATCATTGCTAGCTCACAAGTAGGCATACTTGGTAGAAATATGATATGTGAAACTCTCCATTGCTGTATCTTTATTCTCTCGAAAAACTTATACTTTGCATTGAAAATGGCAGCTGTCATCAGCTATATTGTCATTTTTATTTCCAGAGAAAGCTACTACCAAAGGGATATAGCAATAATTTCAAAAACTGTAGCATAGCCATATGGCACAGCACATGTTTCTAGATGAAACTGGATAGAGAGAAGGAACAACATGGTCAGAAATACAGAAGATGAACTGAAAGTCAAAAAAAATTCTGACCCATTCTGTATAGATCTCTTCACAATCTATGTGTTTGAGTAAATAAAATAAAAAAGATTTGGACTAAAGAGCAATCCAAACATTCTAAAGGGACAAAACAAGGAACAAAACAACACCCATCTTTCCAATAAAGCTTACTTCATTACTATACTATCTTTGAATTTAGCCCTTATATATCCCAACAGTCTGAAAGCTGTATCTCTCAAATCTAGATTATGTGCACTATTTTATTTTCCCATGATATAATGCCACTTTATTCCCAGGGTGTTATCAAAGTTCTTCCAGCACATCCTTGCCCTGGTTTTTGCGGTTGATGAGATCAATGAGAATCCCAAGGTCTTGCCCAATGTCACTCTTGGGTTCCACATCTATGACAGCTACTATAACTCTAAGATGACCTACCGCACCACTCTGGATCTGCTGTTTAACTCACATATCTTTGTCCCCAACTACAAATGTGGCTCCCAGGAAAATATAATAGGAGTCATTGGGGGACTGAGCTCTGAGGTCACCTTGTGCATGGCAGACATCTTGGGTCTTTACAAAATTCCACAGGTAGGAACATTCTGGATAAGAGAAAATTGAGATTTCACACCATAATTCACTCTTCAGCTCTCTTTTCAGTAAAAGTCTATTGATTCATAAATATGGAGTGGCATAACAGGGACAAGTGAAGGGGACTGAAATGTATGGGTTTGTTGTTGTTATAGTATTGTTATAGCATGGGGGTCTCAAACAATGTGCATGACAGGAACAAGGTTACTAAGGATGTGTGCTTAATGCAGGTAAGGGAAGATTGGTTAAAAAGTGCCAGGTTGGTAAATGGGGTATCCAGATGGGATCATATACAGTGGTACCTCGGGTTACAGGCGCTTCAGGTTACAGACTCCGCTAACCCAGAAATAGTACCTTGGGTTAAGAACTTTGCTTCAGGATGAGAACAGAAATCGTGCGGCGGCAGCACAGTGGCAACAGGAGGCCCCATTAGCTAAAGTGGAGCTTCAGGATAAGAACAGTTTTGTGGGGGTGCAACAGAAAAATAGCACCCTTGTGCAAGATTGTGCAAGAGGAAACATCTGTTGACTTGTTTCCCCACCCGCCTGGGTCAGTGTCGAGCTGCTTAACCACAAAGCCTACGTGGCTGTCATGCTGTCTGGAGTTATGTCCTGGTAGAGAATAGCTATTATTAGAAATGCAAACCCTAGCTGTTTCCACCCGAGTGCTACACGTGTATATGCAACATGATGTTATGTGCGCAAGGCTAATAAACATGCAAGGCTGCTGGGAGAGAGAGGCACTCCTTGCTTAAACTTTACCACGGCTCCTCGTCATTTTCCTCCGCACCTGGTGGGCTGGTTCCCCGACAAATGGTGCCCCGTGTGATTGCCTGAACGGCTTCCAGGACGCGTGCTACCACAGACGGTCCTCCCTGCTACTCACCCGCCCGGCAAGGGCTCCAGGCGCCTTCTCATCTTCGGATCCCCGGTGAGTAGCTCCTTTTCTATTTTTATCATGGGTTCTACGCTCTCCAACCCTCAGAAACAATTTTTAAAAGACATGCAACACCTCCTTCGGGAAAATAAACAGCAAGTACCTGAAGGTGATTTAATTGAATTGATTCTGGCCATAGATGAACATTGTCCATGGTTCCCTGAGGACGGGACATGGGAAACTCCGGACTGGGACAGAATTGGCGACCACTTTCATGGCCATGGCCGCATAAATGTTCACGTCCTCAGTGCCTGGGCTAAAGTCCGTGGCTGCATGGCAACTCTTACGCCCAAAAACATCTTCTTGGCTTCGTCGCAACCAAAACAAAAAACAGTCCCGAATATGCCTTCCATATGTCCGGCTGCACCGCCTCTACCACCACCTTTTACTCCTCCACGACTGCCAGATTCTCAGCCTTCACCGGCACTGTCTGCTCCATCCATTAATCGTCAATCGCACCCACCGACGCCACTGGGGACTGCAATTAAACAAGCAGCCCCCCTCTTAGGTTTTTCATCTGGCACAGAACTTTTTCCTGTCTTGGTACCTGCCGGACCAGGGGGAGGGCCACCTCGTCATGAACAATTTGACTATAGACTAATTAAAGAGGTGCATGACTCCGTCCAAAAAAGGCGTCCAGGCTCCTTATACCCTTGGTCTGTTAAATACTATCTTCCAGCAACCCTGTCTCCCGGAAGACATAAAATTGTTGGCTAGGACCATACTGCCACCGTCTGGAGTCATTGTATTTATGCAGGAATGGCAATTTCTGTGTCAACAAGAAGCCCCGAATGTTGCCATGGCTTTAAACAATGCAGCAGCAGCTGCAGCAGCTGCAGCAGCTGCAGCTCCAGCACCTGCTGCAGGAGGAGCACCTCCCCCCCTCCTCCAGTCCTTACTCCTCAGGACGTTATGCATGGCCTTATTGGAACTGGCAATTTTTTTACCATTGCCCAACAGATTGCTGCAGGCGCTGAATATTGGGAAGTTGCTACCCGCTGCGCCAAGATAGCGTTTCAAAAGGTGCCTGACACGAAGGGTGACAGTACGTCCCGTTGGGGTACTGTTCGCCAAGGTCCAAATGAGCCATATGCTGCCTTTATCAATCGCCTATATGACTCTTTGAAGCGCCAAATAGCAGACCCTCAAGTTCAGGAGGTGATCTTGAAACAACTTGCCTTTGATAATGCAAATGAGGATTGTAGAGTGGCACTTTGCCCTCTGATCAGCCAACAAGGGATAAACATAGCCGACATGCTAAAGGCTTGCCAGTCCATTGGCTCAGAGAGCCACAAGGCACGGCTACTTGCTGCGGCTTTATCCCAGGCTGCCAACCCTATGAAAGACAAACTTTGTTTTGGATGCAATAAGCCTGGCCATTTCCGCGCACAATGCCGCTCTACTGGCAGTCAGTCTGGAAAGGGCCCCCCCCCCCTCTAAGTGTCCTATCTGCAAGAAAGGCTTTCATTGGGCAAATCAATGCCACTCGAACCCTGTGAATCAGAATCAAACCCCTAGCCAAGGACAATCATCCCAGAACCAGGGAAACCGGCAGACGGCCCCCCCCCGGGCCCCAGTAAACCAATAGGGGGACCATGCCCAATGCCACAACTTATTCTCACTCAGGATGTACGATTCCTGGTTCCATTTTGTCCTCACAAATCCTTGGTTATGGCCTGTGGATTTGCTATAGACAATTCTCAACGTTGTCTTGTCCTGCCACTTGCCTCTGCACAAACTGTTGGGGTACATGCGGTGCCTGGAATCATTAAGGGACCCTATAGCTCAATCACCATTACGCTATATGCTGATCGTCCCTGCCATCTCCCATCTGGCACGCCAGTGGCTAAAGTCATACTGCTCCCTGCGGACGCCACAACTCCTACAAATACCCCCTTAATTGCTGCTGCAATGCCCCTCACAGCTCAGCGCCCTACATTAAAAATGACACTGGGTGGACGTGAGGTAGAGGGGGTTCTAGATACAGGGGCAGATGTTACTGTGATTGCCAAACAAGACTGGCCGCCTGAATGGCCCACGAAGGCAGCTGCCCAAGTTTTGGGTGTCGGGGGAGAAACGCCAGCCTGTCAAAGCCTTCACCCAATTATGATTCAAGGCCCCTCGGGTCTTTCTGTCACCATCTACCCCCTCATCCTGGACATTCCTGTCTGTTTATGGGGACGGGATGTTCTTGAAGCCTCAGGCTCTTCCATTCAGACAAATTTATTCTAAGGGCCGCCCCTGCATACCCGAGGACCACGCTAGCCCTCACCTGGACATCAAACACGCCTGTTTGGGTTGAGCAATGGCCTCTGACCAAAGACAAACTTGCAGCGGCAGCCCATCTTGTCTCGGAACAACTTCGCCTCGGACACATTGAGCCTTCTTCCTCCCCATGGAATACACCAATTTTTGTCATCAAAAAGAAAACCTCTGGCCAATGGCGCCTCCTTCAGGACTTAAGGAAGGTAAACAACCAGATGCAACCTATGGGCACATTACAGCCTGGTTTGCCTAATCCCAACATGATACCAAAAGACCACAAACTTCTGGTGGTAGATATAAAAGACTGTTTCTTTTCCATACCACTAGCCCCACCAGATCGTCAGCGTTTTGCCTTTACGTTGCCTGTTCTCAACAACGCCCAGCCGACTGAGCGCTACCAGTGGGTTGTATTGCCACAAGGCATGAAAAACTCTCCAACTTTATGCCAGCACTTTGTCAATTTAGCCCTAAAACCTTTCCGCCAGCGCCACCTAGCAGTTATTTGTTATCTTTACATGGATGGTATCCTTGTGGCTGCAAAGGACATATCAGAGGAAGTATTAAAAGACCTTACATCTGCCCTGACAGATTTTGGACTGTGTATTGCCCCAGATAAGGTTCAGCAAACCTTGCCCATGTCATATCTTGGACACAAATTGACACAACAAGCTGCCATTCCGGTTGTTCCCCAATTGTCTTTTCCTGCCCGCCTACGGCTGGTTGACCTTCAACAACTTTTGGGACACCTGAATTGGATAAAGAATTACCTTAATCTGCCTACTAGCACCTTGTCACCATTGTTTTCTGCCTTACAAGGACACAAACTACCCGGAGAAGTCATCCCAGTTACAGAAGAAATGCTACAAGCCTTACAACAGGTTAATGCTTTATTAAGAGACCGGATGGTAGATCGCATAGACACTCTGCACAATGTGCAGTTATCCTTGGCAATTTTTTCCACACCCTTGTTGCCTACAGCCATTCTTTACTCACAAAAATTGGCCGCCCCCTCGGGTGTCAACATTGTGGAATGGATCCACCTTCCGCATACTCCACCGCGTAA